GAGGGCAACAAAAATGATTAGGGGTCTGGAGCACATGACTTATGAGGAGAGGCTGAGGGAACTGGGATTGTTTAGTCTGCAGAAGAGAAGAATGAGGGGGGATTTGATAGCTGCTTTCAACTACCTGAAAGGGGGTTCCAAAGAGGATGGATCTAGACTGTTCAGTGGTACCAAATGACAGAACAAGGAGTAATGGTCTCAAGTTGCAGTGGGGGAGGTTTAGGTTGGATATTAGGAAAAACGTTTTCACTAGGAGGGTGGTGAAGCACTGGAATGCGTTACCTAGGGCGGTGGTGGAATCTCCATCCTTAGAGGTTTTTAAGGTCAGGCTTGACGAAGCCCTGGCTGGGATGATTTAGTTGGGAATTGGTCCTGCTTTGAGCACGGGGTTGGACTAGATGACCTCCTGAGGTCCCTTCCAACCCTGATATTCTATGAAAGCAAGTGTAAAATGCTGCACGCTCAGGATTCCCCGCTCACGGACACCGGAGTTAGTGTGTTGCACCCATTCGGCTCAAGGTGCGAGGCAGCAGGGTCCCTCCTTTGCTGGCCTCCTCAACAAAACCAGGCAGGATCCATCCTGTTGCTGTTGCCGCGTTCGCCCTCACCCTGGGTGGAGGCCGGGCTCGGATCGCTGAAGTAGCGTTCCCAGCAGAGCTGAGCAGGCATGAGCACACCCTGACTCAGCTCTGCACAAGCCCCTCCGACGTGCTGAGCGCAGGGACGGGAGAGGCTTCCCTCTTCCTGTCTGATGAGCCAAGAAGCCGCCACAGACTGCTCCTGCCCCGTACGGTTTTGTGTCAGCCTTGTGACCTCCGGGTTAAAGCCTCCTCTTCTGTTCCCCGCCTGCAGGTCTTGCAGAAGCTCGGCAAAGCGGATGAAACAAAAGACGAGCAGTTTGAGCAGTGCGTGCAGAACTTCAACAAACAGCTGGTAAGTGACTTGGTGATATGTAATTACACACTGGGCCCTAGCGCTGCAGGGGGCTTTTGGAAATGAACATGCAATTAAGGCACTTACAAACAAAGCCATAGTCACACAGAAGTTACCCACCCACCTGTAAGCGCCCTACTGTGCATACACACCAGATCACGCTAATCTCTTATTTCATTTCCTCGCCACATGGAAAAAGGCCAGTTTAGGTCCAAAATTTAGGTTTAATAATATCTAATCTGAGTAGCAACATTTCCATATTTTCCCCCTCTTTTTATAAACTCAGTTTAACAGTGGTTTGCTACCTGCATTCCTCTGGCAGTGTGGGAAACTCCGCCCGCCAGCCGCATTGTGCTAGTGCCAGAGAACCAGGAAATGAAACTAACATAACATTAGCCAATGTACCTTCCCTTTCCTCAGCTAAGTGAAGTGCAAAAAAGTAAACAAACCGCATAAATGGTGAAAAGAAATACACTGCTGATACCCACAGTGTTATTTCCCTTTTTGTATCTGTTTGCTAAGTCCAACCAATCGTGCGTGTGCGTGCGTGTGTGTTTCACTGCTGCATTTTAACAAAATGTATTATGTCTATTACTATTGCGCCTAGGAGTTCTAGTCCTGGACCAGGACACCATTGTGCAAACACAGCACAAAAATAAAGGTATGTTTGCAGGATGGCAAGAAAACCCATTGATTTGTAGGCTTTTCATACAGAGTTGTCGCATCATATTCTCTATCTAGAGCGTGTTGCCACTTGGACTGGAAACTGTAGCTAATGGGAGGGATTTTGGAAAAGAGAAGCTAAAGGGCGAGTGGGCTGGAGGGAGCGACTTATGAGGAAAGCATGAAATAGCTAAGCACGACCTCACACCGGAATGAGGGGACATGATAACTCTGGTAGAGAGAGGGCCGTAGAGACCTCTGCATAAGAAGGCAAACCTGAATGCTGGAAGATTTCTCGATAGCCCTTGTTTAAGGCATTCAGAGCTAGACTGAGGGATGGGATGAGTCCCCAAGTGGGAGTTGCACACGCAACAGGAACGCCTTAATTTATACTGGGTATTAAAGGATAGATCCTGGTTTTAGTATCTCTCAGCTCTTTCCTGACCAACCTCCCGGTCCCCTTCCGCCAATCAGTCTCTCTGCCTGGCTCCCTTCCTCCCCTCCGTCCATAGAATTTCCTTCCCACTCCTCCAGATCCCTCTCCCTTATTCATGCACACAGAGTCCATTTCCACATGCACCCTTCCCCCTCCTGCTACTGCATCCATACGTCCCCAGCCCCAGAGAACCCATTCTGTGCTGGTACTGCTCAGCGACTGTTCCATTGCCTTTCTGCAGCCTGTCCCCAAGTCCCAGAGCCACAGACGTTAGTAATGGAATGACCTACTAGGTCATCCAGCCCACTCGTTCACTGAATGTACTTAGGAGCCCTGTCCAGTGTCGGCTAGCCATTGCTGTGTAACACCCAGGGCACAGCAAAACTCAGAAGTGTGCTTCCATCACATCCCTAAACTAGTCCCAGGCCTTGTCCTCGGCCATAGTTCCCTTTCTGCTGCTGAATACAGAGTCCCATGATGAGATTTTAGGGTCCCTTGGTCTCGCATTAGACTCTCCTAATCCAGAGACTCACCTATGGATCCCTCAAGGCCTCTGTCCTGCCTCTGGCAACAGTGGTAGCTGGTGCTTCAAAAGGAAGTGCAAAACCCCTGTTGCGTGTCTCGGTGATTGTGCAGTGTTGTATGTGGGGGAGTAGTGTTTCTCGCAGCTGATGTGGTATCGTGAAATGCAATTTGCCCTTAATATTTGTTGCCTGACTAGCTCTCAGCGGCCATGGAATTATATGACCCTTTCTAAAAGGAAACCAACAGCTCCCTGCCCACCCAAAACCCCCCATTAAATCTAGCCACCCTCCTGCAGCAGTGAGTTCCACAGTGCATCAATATGAAGCATTTCATTTTCGTGTATCCTGAATGGTGTGGTGTTCAGTTTCATACTGCCCTCTCTGTACTCTTCTTAGGGGACAGTACAAGGAAGGAGGAACTATGCCATTCAGTTAACTGTTCATAGGACTGGGAGCTGCTCTGTACCCGTCCCTTGTCCTCTCTTTGCCTCTCAATTTCCCCATGTGTAAAAAAGGGATGGTGCCTGTTTTGCAGGGAGGGTCATAAACCTGGATTAGTTTGATTGTGCAGCACTCTGAAAATGCCAGGGGTAATTATTATGATGTTGGCTCAGATATGCTGGAAAAAAAGCTCTATATATAGATGAGATTTCTGTGGACTTCCTTATAAAGGGCTTGTCTATGCAGGGAAATGGACCAGAATAGCTGCTGTGGAATAAGCATTTCTGGAATAGCTCCATGTGTGAACGCTCGATTCCAGAATGATTAGCGTGCTCGCAAACTGCACTAATCATTCCAGAATAAAGTGACTGAATAGAGGATCTACCCCAGGTGTGCAATCGCTTATTCTGCAGTGTGGACAATTCCCCCCTGTAGACCATTCCAGAGAAGGCCCCTTAGGTCAAAACTTAAGGTTTTGAGAAAAGTTGGGCTCAGACCCTCAGAGATGTTTAGGTGCTTAACTCCCATTGGATTTAGAGCCAATGGGAGTTAGGCACTTAAATACCTTTTTTGGGTCTGGGCCTTGATCTCTTGCAGCAAGGGGCTGAAGATTTGTATCCAGTTTAGCATTTCATTGGGCTGGAATTGACTGGGGTGTATCCACAGGGCTATTGAAGCAGGAGGGGAGGGAAACTGCAGATAAGCAGATGGCCCCGATCCTTGTCTGCTAGCTCAGTCAGAGGGGCCCTGAATTGAGTCGTCTCAGTGGGTGTTTCTGGGTATGGGCTATTTGTGAATATAGGCCAGGATGGGTAAGGAATGGTGTCCCTAGTCTCTGTTTGTCAGAGGGTGGAGATGGACGGCAGGAGAGAGATCACTTGATCATTACCTGTTAGGTTCACTCCCTCTGGGGCACCTGGCATTGGCCACTGTCGGTAGACAGGATACTGGGCTGGATGGACCTTTGGTCTGACCCAGTACGGCCGTTCTTATGTTCTTAAGTTCTAGGACAGAGATAGTTAGCTCTCTCCTTCCCCCAAGGCATCCTGTGGTTTCTCCAAGTGGTGGGTGGGTGGGTGTAGGGGGGGTGAGCCCCTGCTGTATAAGCCACCCTGTGTCCATTCAAAGCAATGCAAGAATCTCTCTTTGCAGTCTGTGAATGGTAGGAGCTCTCTGCTTAGACAGGTGGACTTTGCTACGTGACACAGGAGCTGAACATGGCCTTGCATCTGCAGAGCTATAGATGGCCCCACACGCTGGGGCTCGTAGGGCTTGATGAGGCATCACAACTGGGCTGTTAGGCTAATCCTCGTGATGGGCTAAATTTGGCTGTTAACCTCCAGCCTGGATCCTTGGAATGCCCCTCCCCTCCCCCAGCTCCCTTGCCCAAATGTCATTTGTATACAGCCACCACCATAGTCCCCAGCCACCCGATGCATGTTGCCCAGAACTGGAAACGGGGCATGCTGGAAAAGGGGAAGGGGGACCCTGGTCTTGAGAGGTTGGACCTGTGTTACTCACCCAATGCCTCTGAATGTCGCTGGCCTGGGAGGGAGGAGAGTTGAAGGCTTGGCGTGGAATCCAGGCCTGGCACATGGCAATGCTACCTGCGTCTGGCTGCTGGAGTTGCTGTGCTTTGATACCCTGGTGTCTGTCACTCATGTGGAACCTCTGGGCTGGTCTACACTGTTTGACAGCACGTGTTTGTGATAAGGGCTCCTGTCTCTCTTGCTCTCATGTGATGGACGGGAGCTACAACTGTTACTGGCGAAGGCTGGGTCTTTCTAGACTCGTTCCATCAGGGCTGAGGTCAGCACCACTCCCCACCGCCCCTCCCTGGCATGCACCAGTCAGTGTGGTTGCCCCTTGTGCAGAGCAAAACATTTCTCTTCGGCTTCCAGAATCTGATTGCTTTCAGCAGTGCTGTTTCCTAGTCCTTGGGGTGGATTTAAGGTTTTGTGGGGCCCTGGGCCAGAGCAAGTGGGTGACCCCTCCCAACCCCTTCCGCCTGCAGTCCTGCCCCAGTTCTGCCTGCGGCCCTGCCCATGCACCCACCCTGTTCTGTCCTGCCCTGCCCCATTCCATCCACGGTCTACCTCATTCCACCTCCTCCTGCAGTCCCGCTCCTTTCTGCCCCCCTCCCCCCAGCTGCAGGGCCATAGGGGCGAGTGAGGGCTCCCCCAGCCCTGAGGTCATGGCAAGGAGCTACAGCTTCTCCAGTCCCAGGGCCGCAGCTGGGGTCTGGGCACTGGGGCTTCCCCTGTCAGCCAGCGCTCCTGCCGGGACCAGGTTCAGGGCGCAGTGACTTCCCTCGCCCTGCCCGGCACTCTTGCTGGGGAGCAGGGGCACCCATTTTTCTAGGGCCCCTGGGTATGGGCTCCATCAGCCCAGTGGCTAATAATCCGCTACTAGGGGGAAGTATGGGATTTAGTTGCCCATACATTCACAGACATGAGGGCTGGAAGTCTCTTACCAAACGCAGAAGTGCCAATGTCAAAATCCAATGAGCAATGACTTTCAGGACCAAATTTTCAGTGAGCTTCCTTCACTGCGCCCTGCTGAACTGCGGAGCATGCTGTGTTTTGTGTGCGCGCGAAGCTCATACGCTGGCTGGCTGTTTTTTTTCCCAGACACAGTTAAGGAAAGATGCCTTGAGCTTTCAGGGTGGACATCCTGCTGATACCAGAACGTTAACTACTCCCACCGCTGACCCAGAGTCTGTGCTGCTCTTCCACCTTAGCTTGGTTTTCTTGGCATTTGTGGATTTTAATAGATATTTCATTGAATCCTTCTACATTTGTGATTATTTAAAGAATATTGTGCAACCACATTTCCTTTTTGATCAGCCTAAAAAGATACAACCTTCTTCCCCTTAGACAAAACAATAATGCTGAGAAAAGGGTTTACGTCCTGTATTACAGGGGTCTATTGGTCTC